AAGCAGTGGTATCAACGCAGAGTACTAGTAGACTCCAGCAAGGACCTTTCCATAGTACTTATTCTGTAGATTACGCAGCGCCAAAAGTAGTCACAGGCATTTTTCCATAGGAGTTAGAAGGGCTGGTGAATTCTGGAAAAATCATGTCGTTCTCAATTTTTCTCAACGTAACTCTAAAATATGAAGCTCTCTTGCTAAGCAGATGTGATCTTCGTAATCAGCAGGTCGATAACCCTTATAAGCAAGTTTTCCAAGATGTTCGAGTAATTTCCTTTTTTCTCGTTTTACGCTCTGAAGCTGCCCGATGGATTTTGGTCAAAATGTTCATGCTCTTAAATTGTAAGGAAACTTCGCTTATAGATGTTTTCGAACACGCTCTTTACGAAATTCGTGGTCTTTGAGGACTATAGGGTCTTCTTGGAGAGATACGGTGAGGTGACTGTAACTGCATCACGAAAGCTCGTAACTTCGCCTCCACCTCTCACGTGTCTGTCAAAGAACCTGCCTGCTTGCTTTACTAGTCAAAGTTACTAGGAGATGTGCTATCGAATGGCGCAAGACTCAGGCCCCAGTCTGTAAAATTCGCCGAGTTACGAGCCTATGAAAACACGTTCTCATGAATTTTGCTCAAAATGTAAAGATCGCAAGTTTCGTCGAAATTCCACCATGAGTGCTTGTACAATACGTTGATCAAATCTTTTCACATTCTTTATGGATCTTATTGTGAGATTTGGTGATTTGAGCTCTAGCCACAGAACAGCTTTGATGTCAATTGCTGAAGCACACGCAAGCACCATACTCAATACAGTGGAGTTATTGAGCGAAGCGAACATAATATCCGCAATGCGAGTGTCATACAAGCACTCACGGTGGAATTTCGACGAAACTTGCGATCTTTACATTTTGAGCAAAATTCATGAGAACGTGTTTTCATAGGCTCGTAACTCGGCGAATTTTATAGACTGGAGCCTGAGTCTTGCGCCATTCGATAGCACATCTCCTAGTAACTTTGACTAGTAAAGCAAGCAGGCAGGTTCTTTGACAGACACGTGAGAGGTGGAGGCGAAGTTACGAGCTTTCGTGATGCAGTTACAGTCACCTCACCGTATCTCTCCAAGAAGACCCTGTAGTCCTCAAAGACCACGAATTTCGTAAAGAGCGTGTTCGAAAACATCTATAAGCGAAGTTTCCTTACAATTTAAGAGCATGAACATTTTGACCAAAATCCATCGGGCAGCTTCAGAGCGTAAAACGAGAAAAAAGGAAATTACTCGAACATCTTGGAAAACTTGCTTATAAGGGTTATCCGACCTGCTGATTACGAAGATCACATCTGCTTAGCAAGAGAGCTTCATATTTTAGAGTTACGTTGAGAAAAATTGAGAACGACATGATTTTTCCAGAATTCACCAGCCCTTCTAACTCCTATGGAAAAATGCCTATGACTACTTTTTGGCGCTGCGTAATCTACAGAATAAGTACTATGGAAAGGTCCTTGCTGGAGTCTACTAGGAGCAATGCGCGCTGCTTTACACCTTCACAAAAAGACGTCTACAGAAAGATTTGAGAATATTGAGATTGGAATATCAAGGATATGCTGTATATCGAAAGATTTGCCTTGATGAACTGAGCACAAAGCTTTCTTCGGATTCAGAATATGTTCATTCCGAAGGAAGTTACGGCGAGTAGAATTTAGAAACGCGTGATTTTTCCAAAATTCACCAACGCTTCTGTCTCTTTTGGGAGACAGTCTGCAGCTACCCTTGAACGCACGATAACCTACAAGGACAGTGCTATCGAATAGTGCTTACTGGAATCTTTTATGTTACGCAGACGCTGCGTTACATCCTTGCGAAAAGACCTCCACAGAAAAAATTAGAAAAAACTGGAAATGGAATATCGAGAGCATACTGTATATCAAAATATTTGCCTCGGCGATCTGAATGGCGATCACAATGCTGCTTCTGGATTCTGAATATATTTATTCCGAAGGATGTTATGGCGTTGCGTATTCTGCGTGATTCGCATGGTTTCGCGGATCCTGAAATGTCGCGAACTTCCCGGATTATCGCGCACTTTTGTGGAAATCCCGGAATTCCGCGAAGTTCACGGAAATTTTGACATTCTGTGCGCGGTATTGTGATCTGAGCAGATCTTAGAACAAATTCGATCAGAGTGCTGTCTATGTGTCATCAGCGACAGATCAATGGTAATACTGTTATCAGCACACTGAATTCAACGAAAATAATAATCGATAATTCTGAAAACTAATATTGTATTCGGAATCCTCATGCTCGATTACCCCACTATGCAAACTCCCAGCTCCGTAGGTGAACTCTGCAAAAAAATCGATAAAAATCGATAAAATCGACATCGATCGATAACGAAAAGTAGCCTGTGACACCCGCCGGGGCCCGAAGTGTATGTGTGCCAAGTTTGGTCCGGATCGGTTGAGAAATGGAATTTTCTATTCGGAACATACGGCGGAGCCGGGTAAGCCAGCTAGTATATAAGATGATGCGTCTCGTCGAGCTGAATCGAAGGTGTCCTCGGAATCAGAATTCTTCCATTCTGAAGCGAGATATGGCTAAATTGACGATCATTCCGGCGCACTGCGGCGGAGTGTGGCGCACTCTGCCGCACTCCGGCGCACTCTGCCACACTCCGGCGCATTGTGGTAGAGTGTGGCGGAGTGCGCCGCAGTCCGGCGACTTTTTTAACAAATTATGAGCGGTATTGTGATATTCTATACGTTCTCTGATCATGAAACCTGGGCATTGTTTAAATTCATAAGATATGTTGTAAGCCACGCAGGTTTGTTAAGTTCTTTGTTTCGGTCTAACGTTTCGGCAAAAATGCCTTCCTCAGAGACCTGAAAGAAAGCCTCGTACTTGTTTTTCACTCTGTACTGCCAAATCTCTCTTCTCAGCTAGCTCAGTTCGATGTCCTAGGGGCAAACATGTTGAGACAATACTTTGTAAGTAGCGTACCAAGTTCTTCACCAATTAGGCAACAACAGACGTTCGAGATCCACTTGGTAATAGACTAGAACTGACCGATATGGACAGCTTAATAGAGATTTGGAAGAGAGATTCGGCAGTACAGAATGAAAAACAAGTACGAGGCTTTCTTTCAGGTCTCTGAGGAAGGCATTTTTGCCGAAACGTTAGACCGAAATAAAGAACTTAACAAACCTGCGTGGCTTACAACGTATCGGTCCAAACACATTTTCGAGTTTTTTCTACACTAAAACTTACCAAATCAAGAAAGTGTGCCTCATCGCCTTGTTTCGCTGATTACTGGACAATTCAGAACGTATTTGTATGACGTGAAAATTCGATGCAAAAAAGTGGGCAACAAAATTTTGAATCATGTAACTCACCGGTAACAAGTTTTTCGCTTCCTTGAGCTCCAAACCTGGACTGCCTTCCAATCCGTGGAAGGTCCAAGCAAGAAAGAGCATCAGAAGGCCGCCGCCCACAATTGCTACAGACGATAAACTTCGCCATAGAGACCTTGATGGCAATGGGAATATACAAACAGCTCCAGCTAATCCATAAGCTGGAGCATACATCCACCAGTTTATATCATGCTGTAAATAATAACTTTAAAGACGAATAAAGTCTGCGCTGCTTTTTGTAAAATTTTACAATAATATTCAAATAATTCTGAACAATTGACTTTTCAGTATGGTAAAATCTCTTTGTTTTATCTGCAAAACCTTAGATTGCTCTGAGTGAGATTTTCGCTTTGTTTGCATCAATGTCTGAAGTGCTTTTGCAAGTTAAAATGTTTTTTGTAAAAGTTTTCAAGTTCTTATCTTGATTTACTCTAATTTGTGGTTCCTAAAGTTCTGCTGTAATTCTATTTGCAAATTGTTCAAAGGAATATTTTCGGGAACTGCTTTCTTGCTGATAGTTGTAAAATGCAGACAAAGTAAACTTTCTGCGATGAAACATCTTCTTGCATTTGACAAATTTTTTTTCCATAAATCAAAAAAATTTCACCAAAAGTTTTCACAGCTAAAAATTGGGTACTATATAACCTCGATCATTTGTAACTTAATATGTGAGACTGCACACTAAGACCTATTAGCGACGCCACCCTTACTGATAACTTTCCAGTAAAACATTTTCTAGCCTAACAAAGTGTAGAAATGTGTTCTGTTGACTAACATGTAATCAATAAAAATAAAAAAGACAAGAAAACAAGGAGAAATCACTGGAAATGAGCAGGTTCTAATTTTCGTTAGTTAGCGTGTTTAGTGTGCACTTTGCGTATTAAGTTACGAATGACTCGACGATAATCTAACCTAACACTCAAAACTCGATAATTACCGAACACCGATCAAAGGTCAGTGAGGTTCAGAATGAAACGAATTTACAGTTGCGATCAAGTGCACTTGCAACGTAGAGATGAGAATTACGACAATATTATCTGCGAAATTGCTTATAATTAGATCAGGAAAAAAACTAATTGAGGGGCAAATACTGCACTAATGGTACTCTTTTTTTACCAATCGAGTTCTGTGAGGGCTGGATCATAAGAAATTTATTTGAAGATATTCTAGCTAATTGATGTGTAGAAACAAGACTGCATTGCAAATGTTTGTTATAGCATTATTTACAAGCAGGGCTCGGCACGAGGTGGCTTTCCGAAAATGCAAAACACGAAGTCTTCCTGACTCTCACAATATACGAAGTCCCCTTTGACTTTTATCCGAATCTACTAGATATTCTAAAAGGAGAAACGTCGACTAAAAAAACCTAATCTTACTTGTGTTTTCCGACCCGCAAAAACGATATCCTTTTTGCTTTTTGTTCCAAAAACGATATCCAGCTTGCCTATAAGCCATCCATGCCAGGTCACGCTTAGAAGTTTACGACTGTAAGTCGTACGTCTCCGGTAAGGCTGAGAACGTAAAGCTATGGGTTCTAACTTTCCGCGACTCCGAAATTGATCTCGAAAAGATTTACTTTGCGCTGGAAAGAGAAAGAAATTTTCGCGCTGAATAAAAATTCATTGTTGTTTTATTTTTATTCGTTTTATTTGATGGTAAATCTCAAACGGGGCGAACTTTTAACGGCCTGATAGCTCTCTCAACATATTTGGGAAGCTGTTTTGTGCAGTATTTTGTTCAGATACCGAAAAACTTCACTCACTTGATATTGGTAAGCCGCATGGGCCAACAGTCCGATGGAAAAGACCGAAGTGAGAGCTGGCAACATAAGCAGGGATCTGCAAAGGGTGTGTTTCGTATAAGATTCTCTTATCGTCACATGGTTCTGCGTGGTACAAGTAAACAAATGTTGCAAGAGGGCAGCCTTATCTGACCTTGCAAGTCATAGTGTTTATTGCCCATATAATATACTGAAAATGCAGTGAGTCATTCCAGAAGTTTCTTTTGCTTTCTACCTTCTAATCCACAACTTTTCAGGAAAATCAAAACAAATCTGCATGATCTACTATGCTTACGAAGAGAAATTAGTCTTGCATTATATTTCCTAAACAGTTGTTTTTATCGATAAATTTTGTTAAAATTGACATGAAAATCTCACAATTTCTAGTATCGCGAATGGTGTCGTAAATTGAAGGAATTGCTGTGTAAGTCAAGTCTTAAAGGAGTTACGGGAGACAGTGATTCAGGAGCCAATGGATAATGGTCAGAAATCAGAAAGAAAAGCACAAGTGCAAATATTAGCTTGTCCCAGAAGTTTACCCTTTTTTCACCGCTCACTAAACCTCGCAGAACATCAATCCATGGACTACTTAGGTACCCTTTAGATTTTTATCCGCTTTCTTGGAGCGGTATTTACTCTCTGATCTACCCTGTCTTTGCGATGTTATCGCCATGGCTTTTTGAGCAGCGCAGCAGTAACGCCCTTTTCCTAAATTTCAAAAATTTTATATTAATGTTTTCAGAAAGCGCTGGTGACTGTCATGTAGAGTGAACGTTTGGCTACATTGTATGCATTTTAGATTACCTGGGTAACGTTCAGCAAGTCCGTTATAATTATTCATTCAATAAAAACCGCGGCTACGTAAATGTACCGAAAATTCCAAAAAGCTGTTTTTTTAAAGCAAATCAAACTTGGTTAAGTTGCATAGACAATGCTTATTGAGAATCATGTTTCAAATCGCAGAAATCTCAAAAGCTTTCGTGTATTTGCTGCAGCTGCGCGTTTTATGTCTGTGCCAAAAACTGAAACGCGAAGAAATAAATTTTTGAAATCAAAAACAGCAGATTGGGAGAATCTAAAAATACAGCTTATGCGGAGAATTGCTCTATTTAATCAATATCTAATTCATTCCGGAACTTTGGAATGAAATTTTTAAGAGCTAGCCTAACTTTGAGCAGATAAAATGGAAGGATGGAGAATTTTAGCAATCAATAAAAGAAGCATACAAGATTGTGATTCGAAAATGTATTCAAAAGAAAGAGAAGTGAAAGCTGCATCGAATGCATGTTGAAACTCATTCAGGTCTATAATGTGCGTGGTTTTATAGTAGTTGGAAAAACTTTCGGGACAACCTAAATATTTTTACGCTGATGTAAATGAACGCCACATGCGATTTATGTGGAAAAGTCCTCAAAATTTACAAACGAAACTATTAGAAATTGTGTTGCGAGCGAGATTTAGTAAGAACTGCCGAATTTTTCGAAAAAGTAAACTGGTTGTAAACCGATTTATCTCCGGGTTACTGATCTTGCAGTCACCTTGGTGACGGTCTTTCTCAAATTGGCATAGTTGTCTATTCAATCTGCCAAATACTCAAAACAATTTTGTTTTAGGCCATAACAAACTTCTAAATCACCTGATTCTGGCACTCTGTGAAACCCTAAGATATTGGAAACAGCTAGCTGACTTGTAATGAAATAATGAGCCAAAATTACCATTAATAAATTGGCGCATAGCAAAGATAAATGTGGTCAAAGTCTTGATAACTGGCTAGATGAAGAAGCAGCGCTTCATCGAATGTAATGAGCCCTTCGCTTACTTGCTGTTCTGCGAGTTTTGTTTGCACAAACATCATGAACATTAGAAAAAACTTTTGGACTACGTAGATTAGAAATTTTCTATCCCGCGAATATTTCCGAAAGTATTGATTTCGTAACGAACAATCAAAATACGGTCTTTCAAAAGGATATACAAACTGTGTCAAAAGTATCGAATCTAAAGTCAAGAGACGATTTTGGAAAGCGGGCATTTTTTTACAGAATCAAAAAAGTCCATGCAGACCAAGCAATGTGTCAATGACTTTGATACATCTTGAAGCTGTTGATGTGCATAAGAAAATGTACCAAGTGAACTTTGAATTGATGATTGATGAATGACCAATTCAAATTTATTGAACTCTAGTGATATTTGACACCCTGGGACAGAACTGGAGATGAAAGAAAGTAGATATAGGGAAGAGAACATGTTAATATGGCAGCAACCTGAATAAGTTTTGAAAAAGTGCGAAGTTATGCCAAATATACAGAGTTTGTTGGAATAAAACCATGCATTGCATTCTGAACGTCTGATTATATAAAATGCTAATAGTTTCATTTTCACTCACATTTTCGATATATTAAGTGATTTTTTGTTTTTCAATATAACTGAAGACAAACTCATCCCAGTTTAAGAACATGTCATGACGGAAACAATAAGAATTTAGGTGCGAAGGAAACCCAGTTTCATCTTTGCATTGAAGTAGAAGAAAATCAATGGCAAACAAGCAAACTCAGAAAGCAAAAAGGCAAAAACCAAGTGAACGAAAATTCAAAATTCACATAAACTTGCAGAAGCAATGAACGACAGGTAAAAGTAATAGAGTGCATAAAGATTTTTGGGAAACTTAATCAAACGGTAAAACCATCACAATCCGACTGCTATTACGGACTAGCATGGAACCGTTCAATGCAAACCACTAAATAACAACAAGAGACGTTATCTAATCGATGTGAAGTGGGTCTGTGCCGTACAAATTAGACCGGTTCCACTGAGGAAGGCCACCCGTTCCGAAGCAAGTACTCCAGGTTAACGGTTACAGCAGCAGTTCCCAGGTAGCTGAAGAAGACCCACTGCCAATTTGGAGAATCAACAATGAAAAAGGTGACGGATCAATCGCGACGACCTTGCTCTTCTATTGATCCACCTTTCGTCGATGTATGGTCTTAAGATGCCCTCTAAAATGGACGGAGATGGACTTTCATGAAAAATTCGAATCTGCTTTTTTGAAGAATTAAAAACGACAACGTTTTTGTAAACATCCAAAAAAAAGCGAAGTGTAGTAAGCATTATTACATCGGTGCAAAAATAATGTTTTGCAAATTCTTGACGAGCCATAATCTTTCCAAACCTCGTTCATGACTGAAATGTGCTCGTTTCCAAAAGTAAATAATTTTTGAAAAATGTGCTCATCATGCAATAAGTAAACAATTTCTATCCCACATTGCAACTACGCTTTCGAAACAGTGCGTTCGCTTGAGCTTGATTTCTGATCAGAAATAAATAACAAATAGCTACATTATGCCAAGATTCATCAATAATCGAGCTTGGAGTCTTATCTGGAAAGTATCTTGAAAATTAGTTGTGATCGAAAAAAAATTGGTTAGAAAGGGTCTAAGAAAAACACTCTTGAATGTGCAGCAGCCATAGGACTCGGTTAAAATGATCTTATTGTAAAAGTAATGTGCCTTATGCAAAAAAATATTATAGATTTAAAGGCAACTTAGTTTCTCCAAGGTTTCTTTTTTTATTAAATATGCATTCATACACCTCAAGGAGGGATTGTATAACAGACTCCAGATACATAGCTAGAGAAAATCTTGCAAGGCTTGATGATTTTGAAGTTGAAAATGCTTCTTTGATTCGGTAAATGGATGTTAGAAGAATGATAGAAAGCAAGAAAGTGGATGGATAATAGAGTGAAAAAACTTGATCTAGAACAAGTTTATTCAGTTACCACACTGGTGTGCAGAGTGTTATGATTACAGAAAGTCAATTTCAGTTTGTGAAGCTGCAGTACAGATGAATAGAAAGCCTTATGAAAATAACTTTTTTGTATCCTGAGAAGAAAACGGCGCCCGTGGTCGTCTCCATTTCAGAAACATCCGGGTTTGATATTGAGCCGGGCCGAAAGTTTTCCGTCTTTCCGACTTTTCATAGAAACGGGGGGGGGGGGGTAGGTACCCAGCAAACTGTGGTATACACTAAGCCACGCCCCTTTGCTAGTTATCAGCGGGTACCTAACGATACACCAAGTCCTAGCTGCTAGAACAGCTCACCTAGCTTGCAAAAGCGCTGGCGGTTGGGCACAGAAATGAGACAATTTGAAAAAATCAAAAAGGTACGAATAAAAACGGAAGTTTGTACTTTCTATTGCTTCTTTTTGATATTTTAAAACCATAAAAATTCGATGATGAAAGTAAAGAACAAGGTAAGGCTTGTATGAGCAATTCACATTATTTTGCAAAAGGAAATCGTGATAATCTAATCTAGCCGGTCAGCGGGAATTTCAAAGAAATAAACTTTGTAGAAATCCAGTTAACCAAAATTTTATGCTTTTGATGAAAAGAGCTCTTTCAGAGATGCTCCTGGCAAATTAATTGCACGGAAATTTCTTTTGTTTCAAAATCTGCTTCAGGTACATTTTTGACAATGAGAAGTGAAACCGATTGGAACAAGAGCTTCAACGAGAGTTTATCTCACGAATAGTTGGATAATTTGATCATATTTTGGCTGCTAAAAAAGAGAATGAATTTCAACAATTGCAGTATGAAAATACTCCAAAAAAGCATTACGGAGAACATAGGCATGATAAAATATAGTAACTCAAGGGAAATTTCATAAGGGATGTGAAATCTTCCAAAACAAAGAAAAAAAGCTTATTAATGTAATGTCCCATAAATCTGTTGACCTCAATAATGACCGAATTGATAGCCTTAACAGTCTAGTTCACAATCCCTGTAGCAATATTAACGCAAAAGGGTTACGACCCTTAACTTCACACCTCAAGACGAGGCCAACGACAATATGCGTATAAATAGCAGAAAGGGGCTAATTTCCACATCAATAATGTCAATTCAGACCTCGTATTCTGAAGTGTATGGGCGCACAGCCACATACTATTCTTTTTATTATACTCCTAACCAGGTAAATATAGTTTGCCTGATTTTCGATTTTTATTATGTGGGTAAATATGCAGAATTTTCAGGAAACCACAGTTCCAACATTTTCTACGATATACCAGCAGAAC